GGGGGGAAAAGAGGGGGAAAGTTAGCGTAAATGCGACGTGCTATTGGCAGGGCTTGCCGACTTCTCATCACCCTTTGTCAGGTCTTTACTAGATTCAGTCGGACTGACCATCCGATCGGCGATCGTATTTCAGGATATCGGAAAATCTGATATCTGATAATATCATTAATATGTGATTCAGATATCAGGGCCAGTCTTAGGCTTACTTAATTAGGTCAGTATGAACCTTGGATCCATCTTAGCTTATTGCAGAGTGATGCCATTTTCACACTAGGATTTTTTGGACTGAGCTCTGGTCCTCTGGACGTGATTGCGGTCAGATGCATCTCGGGATGGTCGTTTTACAATCCGAGACCTTAACGTCCACTGGCAGGAAAGCGCGTGTGTGAGCATGGCCAGACTCGGACTTCAGTTGCAATACCAAACGTCATTCCCTTAGGCGTGATGCAGTCAGATGCATCGAGGTCTGGTCACAATTACAGTCCGATACGTCCAGGGAAGTAATAGTCTGAGTAGTGTGCCCTGACTTGAGTTGCCATACTCAACTTCATTCCCTCACTTAGACGTGATTGCAGCTAGATGCATCGAGGTCTGGTCGTAATTACGGTCAGATACGTCCAGGAATTTCGAAGCGCTAGTGTGCACCTGCCCTGACTTGAGTTGCCGTACTCCATCACATGTTCTAACTTCTAATTTAGATTATTATTATTATTATTATTTTTAATACAAAAAGCTAAAAACTAACTTGAATTATGTCTAATAGGCTAATAGCATTTTATTTTATTTTTCACACCAGCATAGTCATGCATGTGGCCTCAGATTACAGGCAAATACATGCTCAGTTGTCTTTAAGCTGCATGCTCCTTTGGTTACACTGATCTGACGTCAGGTTCAGCAATTTCTAGGGTCCGTCGTCCTCTGGCACTTTTTTTTTTTTTTTTTTTTTTTTTTAAAGTAATCTATATTCTTCTCTCAGTCTATTTCATCTTTTCTTGGTAGTGCGCATCTATCTCATCCTCTCACTAGTCTATTTATAGTATGTGGGAACACCAACCAACCCGGATCTCTCCCCAGTCCACGGGGTAGGTTTGCACCACAGCTGCGTAACTCGGTTGCAGATTAGCTTTAAAGCATAGTACTCAGACTATCACTTTCAATTGCTGATTCACAATGTATCTGACCACAAATAACGGCCAGAATGGATGTATCTGACTGCAATTACGTCCAGAAATTGGTAATAAAGTCGTAGTTAGTAGTAGGCACACTTATTGCCTCCCAAAGCTGCTGCCTGTGCAGGTAGTAATATTTGTATGTATTCATATATTATGATATTCGATAATTAATATGAATTATATTATAGAATTATTTTGCGCGGGTATAGGTTCGACCAGCTGGCTCATTCCACATGCCCAAGGGCCCATGCCCAAGGGCGGGGTGGGTGGCAGGGGATGGGGAGGGGAGGGGAGAAGGGAGAAGGGGAGGTGTGGGAGGGAGGGGGGGTTGGTTATTCCTTGACCGAAAATGCGAAGGGTGCAGGCTCTCAGTTCCTGAATAGGTAAGTTACCTATTCAGGAACTGAGAGCCTGAATGGGGAGGTGTGGGAGGGGAGGGGGGGGGGGGGGGGGGGATTCGGGGGGGGGGGGAGGAGGGAGAAGAAGGTGCAGTGGAATGGGGTGGACTTCAGACTCCCTGCGATACGGCAGCGGTTCGCCAGCCCTTGCCGTATCGCCGGGACGCGGGCCCCCCCCCCCCCCCCCCCCGGGGGGGGGGGGGGGGGGGGGTGGTATTCCTGAAGAGGTAAGTTACTTAAGATGTCAGACCTATGATGGAAAGGACTGCGAGACGCGGGGATGGTTTTGATCCCCCAAGGAGAAAAATTGAAACCCACAGCACCCGGGTAAACAGAGGTAACCCTGTTAATAATCCATATCGCGTGTAACTCAAGGTTAACTGTGGTGTAACTCGAGTCATCGGGGTAATCCAGGATCCGGCGTAACTCGAGGTTAAAACTGTGGTGTAGCACTGTAACTCGAGTCATCTACGGTAGTCCATCCAGGATCAAACGGAACTCAAGGTTAACTGTGGTGTAGCGCCGTAACTCTAGTCATCTAGGGTAATCCAGGATCCGGCTTACTATGTCAAGGTTAACTGCGGTGTAACTCGAGTCATCGAGGTAATTCAGGTCCTTTTCAGGACCAGGTGTAATCCGAGGTTTAACTGTGGTGTAATAACTCCAGTCATCTAGTAAATTCAATCCAGGACGGGACTGCCTACATCCGTACGGTGCAATGCAGACCAGATTCGCTCCAACCTACTAGTAGGTGCAAGCCTCGGTGAATTTTGATGAAACGCGGGCTTTTGGCCTAACCCCAGTATACCATGCCCGATTGGCACGATGACCTTAGGCGACTAGTTGCGAATCTGTGCATATAAATTAACCGCAGCTGCTTAGGTAAGTTAGGTTAAATTAAAGTTTTAAGCTGTTTAACCGCATGTGATTTGGTGTGACCATAGTAACTGTTGGAGAGAGCCTGGGTGCACTGGCTGTCAGGTTTATTCTTACCAAGCACGGTAACTCAGGTGACTCAGAGGGTAGGGTAACTTTTAAGTTAACCCCCTGTTAACCCAGATTTAACTGGGTGTCAATGATGTAATAGCCCGGAAGTATAGAAGCTGTGCAACGGCGCAACCCCGATTTTCTGCCTAAGTTCTCAGGTATCAGGTTGTGTAACTTATGTTTAACTCGGGTAACCCAGTTAACTCAGAGGTCAGGTAAAATTTAACCAACAGTTACTGAAGTAGAGAAGCTGTGCAACGGTGCAACCCCGATTNGAGGTCAGGTAAAATTTAACCAACAGTTACTGAAGTAGAGAAGCTGTGCAACGGTGCAACCCCGATTTTCTGCCTAAGTTCTCAGGTGTCAGGTTGTGTAACTTATTTTTAACTCGGGTAACCCAGTTAACTCAAGAGGTCAGGTAAAATTTAACCAACAGTTACCGCAGCTAATACTATCTTGCTGGTGGGTGATGTAGGCTTGATTCAGTCCAGCTGTACAGCAGCAGTTACTCAGGTTTTCTGTCTAATAATATGCAAGAGGACCCTGTTTGTCACATTTGTTTTCAAATTGACCGGCCGTGAATCGTTACCCCGGTAACTCAGAGATCAGCAGGTTAAACCTTGAAAGTTTACACCACGCACTGTTCGAGGTGAAGGTGATTGGTTAAATTGGAACCGAGGTCCGGGTGTTAATAAGTTTTTTTTTTTTTGTTTAACCCGGGTGTTAATAAGTTCATATGTGCAACCCTTGTTTTTCCGTCTAAATGAGAGAAATTCACAGAGCAGGTGCCACTATGCCAGGTTCGGTCTTACCCAGCTAACCCGGGTAACACAGAGGTAACTTAAAAAGGTTAAACTTCGAAGTTCGAAGCAACACTACTGCTACCAATGGCCCTGGGTGGCCGGAGGCC